GTTTGTAATGGGTTTTATTGGTTTTGTCTGGTCGTGCCGGGAGACGGCATCACAGTATGGTGAGGGGCGTAACATTTCCGACACACGCTTGAGGTATCCGGCCAATCACAATGCACTGGATAGCTGGTCAATCAGAGCCAGCAAAATTCAGAAAGGCGAGGCATAGAGGAGAAACAATAATGTACAGTGTGTGGAAAATAATGTTTTTTTAACCTTAAACCACATAAACACATTTCATTACACCAAATACACAAAATAATGTTATTTTTAGCAACATCATTTGTAGTACAGTAATGAATATATTACCCAAAAATAATCACACATTTGAGATTCAAATATCGTTTACACTTTTTACACAAGAATTTGCAAGTAGGTCAGTTTAGAAAAAGTTTCCAGAATTTTGTCACAGTGCTTTAGACAGCAACTTTTTGATAATCAGTTCTGAAAGCTTTCTTTCTGTGCTTCCTGAAAGTCTGCTTATTTATTATCAATGCTATTTATTTAATTATCAGTAATTATCATTTGTTATCAGGTGACATGTTCCATCACACAGATGAGTTCATGCATGCAGTTTACCAAAGAACATTTTATGTATGTTGCTTACACAACAGTTGAACAGCCAAGTGCAATACTAATGTGTTTGCTGTGTATGTCACATGTAGGCCTATATTGAATACAAATTTATATGTAAGTGATGAGTCACACACACCATAAAGCCCAAAATACTTTTTTATGTTTATCTTTTAAGTGAGATTGCAATTTTGCTCTGTCAAACCACATTTCACAGAAAAAAAAAAAATCTGTGAAAAAAGTTGATTGGTTTACATAAAAGCTTTTAACTGACATCTTTCAGTTTTCTTGGCAAACACATAACACATAAGCGAGAAACTGAAATCTGTACTTCTTCCACATACATTTTATTTTCCAAGTAACATTATTTGTTTAAAATGAGTGCTAATTATGTAACGTACAATTCCTCAATGAAAATGGTATAAAACACACACACACACACAGAAAAAAACATTTGGCCTTACTGCATTTCTGTACAATTCACTCAGTGAGCTGCAATGTTACTTATCTTTCTTAAAAATAAATAAATAAATAAAGAAATCAGTGGCAATACCTAAAAATGTTTAGAATGTATGTACTTGAGTGTTATTTATTTAGAAGCACAAACTGACACATTTGATGAACAGGTTGTCATGAAGTGATAAGTTGTATTTGCCTTTTATTTATTTTTTTGCATTTTTTAAAAGGTCGCCAGTAAGAGCAAAACAGCTTACACAAAAGAAGGTCATCTTACACCAATAATGGGACATGCTGATCCACACATATGTATAGGCTATATACAAAAATACAAACATCTAACAGTGTAATCCGAGTGCACAAATATTATAATTCATATTAATTATTCACATGCCAAGATGAGTTTACACAACGCGAACAAAATGCTTTATTTGCATATGGCAGGGGTCAAATATTAGTAACATCATCCCCCACCTCCTACTTCGATAGACTGCGTAGATACTGCTCAGCTTTGATTCGCTGTTTCCTAGTAACGCGGTGCGCGGTAGTGATTGGCTGACTCGAGGGTCAAGGAAACGGGAAGCGCACAGGTTGCGTGTTCTTGATTACTTTCTGGGGAGGGCGAGAGAGAAGCAGCGCTACTGCGGCTGATCGAGACTATTTCAGAAACGCGTTGCATTTACAACAGGAGGGGCGCGCTGACATATCGCACGACTGATCGTCCATAAATGGGGTGCTTCTTCTCCAAAAAATCGCGGAGAAAATCTCCTAAAAAAGACTCTGCTTTGACCGATGGGGACGGGAGCGCTACGGGCAATGACCTCCCAGAAACCAACAACACTGCGCTGGGCAGCGACAGCAACCAGGAGGCTCCCAAGCAATACAGCTGGGACAAACGAGAAAAGGTACGACGCTGCATTATAACCCGTTTTTGTGTACTAGACTGTACTACACAGTGTATTATGTTGCGTAATTGCTTTAGGAATGATACAGAATGAACTCCAACCAGCGTCCGTCAGAAATAGCTGTTGTTATGTATGTGCGTTAGCTCAATTCGCATTGTTAAGCCCATTTTATGCAGTTCACAACACGCTAGCGATGGGTTTGGCCCCTCTTGTGTAGTGTTTCTGAGTGTTTTCTTCTGTTGCCTTCGACTGACCATCGATAAGAGTGTCTCTCAGCGGGCGGTTATAGGTTTTCAAATGCTATGGTAAATTATAGACAGAGCTTATTATCGGCTTAAAGTCAGGGCAAGTAACTTGTTTGCCTGGCGCTTGCCCAGATAACGCTGTTAAGGATTAGCACATAAGTGGTGTCGCCATCAACATGTGTGACACTGTATCAGAGGGAGGAAGAGAGTGAGTAGTAAGGGTGGGAGTGTCTGTCTGCTCCTCCATTACAAAACTTTGAGAGCATTTAAATGTCCGGAAGTTTAAATCTTTTATGTTTAAATATTGCCCTGGTCGATGCTTTCAAGTGCAGATTGAAAGGCAGTGAATTCACGAGACAAGTCACTGTCCAACAGTTTGTCAGTTGGAGTTTTCTCTTATGGTCTGTCAAAGGCAGTGTCTGATCAAATAGATTAGACCAGGGGGGCGCCAGCACCTGTCAAGGGGGGCGCGAGCATCAGTTAATTCAGAGACGTTCCCGTGAGAATTTATGAATATGAGTTAACAAATCTTTAGCCATCCACTTATATATTTATGTTTCAGTATAATTACGCACGCTATACCAGGGGCGGTTCTAAACCCTTTTTAGGTGGGTTTCAGCCCCCCTATCTGTCACCTTAGCCCCCCAAAACTATCTTAACGATCAGGCCAGTGCTGCTTCCTCGAGAAAGTTTTTCATTCTCACGTATTTTAAGTCTTATCAGTTTAAACATTAAAGCAATTTTAAGCCATTTAAGCCCAAGACATCTCAGTGCTGTACTCACGCGCTGTGATAGAGCGTTTCTATGAGCACCGCTCACACACCTGAAGTGCACAGATAGCCTTCTTAGACAGCAGGTGAATACCAATGGCTGTCTTGACAAGTATCCTTGTAAGCACAGTCGGTTGTTTTAAGTGAATGTAAACAGTAAAGAAAATATCAAATGTACATCAGCATAACGTGCATTTCTTATGTAAATAATGTTAATCAGAAAGAGCAAAAGAAAAATTGTTCGCTGCTTAAATAGCTTTAATGGATATTTGCTTTTATGTTAATGTTAATAAAGTAAGACGCGAGTGAAATTAGACCAACCTGGGGGAGCGCATGTCCTAAAAGGTTGAAAACCCCTGGATTAGACTAGTAGTTCTCAGCCGGCAGGGGTCAAGGCCCACTAGAGGGCCTCATGAAACTTCCAATTGGCCCCACAAGATACATTTTAAAATATTTTTATATGTGACCCTGAACCACAAAACCAGTCATAAGTAGCACGGGTATGTTTATAGCAAAAGCCAACAATACATTGTATGGGTCGAAATGATCCATTTTTCTTTTATGCCAAAAATCATTAGGATATTAAGTAAAGATCATGCTCCATGAAGATATTTTGTAAATTTCCAACCATAAATATATCAAAACTTGGGTCACATATAGTATTTATATAAAACTACTCAAACTTGATAGCTCTGTTCAGTTTTTAGTCCTAAAACCTGACTGGGAATTAGTAGTTTAAAACAATGGGTTCCTTGGGGAGTTTTCTATAGCTGTTTTGGGTCTGTGGTTACATTTTGGCTTGAATTGAAAATTCGCATTATATGTTTTCTAAATACATGATATAGATTTTATTAGAATGACAGCCGATGCATAGAACAAGCCCCCGCCTTACATGTTTTCTATAATCCTCTACTCTCTGATATATGTCACAATACAGTAGAAAAGATTTGTTGCTACTTCCATTTAATCACATTACTTAAATTCTGTAAACTCAAGAGTTCTTTTTTGTAAGGGTTGCCAGGGTGTTGCTCTGTGATTGTTAGGGTGTTTTAAGTGGTTGTTAGGTGGTTACATACTGGCCCAAGTCAAAAGAGCTCTTGATTTCTGTAATAGTCTTTCCCCAGATACAGAACAGGTGCCTTCTTCAGTTTAAACCTATGTTGTTGTTTCCATTTTGTGTTTTATCTTCTGCCTGATGAACATTTATTTGCAACATGCTGCATGATTTGATGTATCATTTGTGTCTCAAACAATGCAGAATGAGTTTGCTGTTGAAGTGTAACCTTGTAAAGCCTGACATATAAAATAATAGATGGTTTTTTTTTGTTTTTTTTTAGTTTATTGAACTATATAAAATTTACAAGGAAAATCT